AATACAGGCATGCAATTAGCATCACACAAAGATGGTAAGTACTGATTAGTAGTGGTGGCTTTTGGTTACTGATATGTCAACCCCCTTTGTGCTTGATTTTCAATAAGGTGCTTGTGCTTTTGTTTTAAAAAGCAACTTACTGTCTGTTGCTAATTTTTACCAGTGTGCTTCCACTTTTGTTTCTTTTACTTTTGTATTTCATTCTCATTTTATTTAGGCCAAAAGAATTCTTTTGTTCATAATTAACTTTTTCTGTATTTTGATAATTCTTTAATTCCATAGCACTTGAACTGTTATGTTTATGGAACTCTTGAATTGTGATTTCTACTTTTTTTCTAGTAGCTCTTATGCGATAGTAACACTTCTTCAACAAGTTTTTCTGCAGCAGCTTCTAAGTATGACTTGTGTGTCATTGGCATACTGCCTTGTAATTTTCTCTTGAATTTTGTTTGCGTGGCATAATTTTTCAGAAAAAATTCGTACATGCAAAGCTTGGAGATCATGTAGTTCTCCAGAGTTGATCTCTGTGGCCCCTTTGGCTGTTGTGGGTGGGCAAGAAACTTCTCTTCTGTTAAGGGGTAGAAATTTGAATACTCTTGGCACCAGGTTAGTACAATTTTCTTTTGTGTGAAGATTATTTTGTGAATTCCTTGTCTCTATTTCTAAAGTTTCCGGTCATGCAGGATTCATTGCACGTATATGGGGGGTTACACGTCAAAGGAAGCTACTGGTTCAGCATATCATGGAACGATGTTTGATGAGATAAACTTGGGTAGTTTCCAAATTCATGATGCATCTCCTGGTGTTCTTGGTCGCTGTTTCATAGAGGTAAAACTCTTTAAGGAATAATTGGTTTGTTTCAGAAATTGATGTAGAAAAGTTTGTGTTGTACTGACCTTTGCTTAATATGAACAGGTGGAAAATGGTTTTAGGGGCAACAGTTTTCCAGTGATAATAGCTGACGCGACAATCTGCAGAGAATTGAAAGTCCTTGAGTCAGTGTTTGATGCTGAGTCAAAAGTATGTGATTTAATATCAGAAGATGAAAGCCATGATTATGGGCGGCCAACATCAAGGGAGGAAGCCCTTCACTTTTTGAATGAGCTAGGATGGCTCTTCCAAAGAAAAAGGATATGTTCCATGCTTCAAGAGCCTCGTTATGCACTCAGCCGTTTTAAATTTTTACTCACATTCAGTGTCGAGAAAGACTGTTGTGCTTTGGTTAAAACACTTCTAGACATTCTATTTGATAGAAACTTTGACAGTGATGAGCTGTCGGGAGGGTCAGTTATGCTGTCAGACATGCAGCTTCTGAACCGGGCAGTAAAAAGGAGATGCAGGAAGATGGTTGACTTGCTCATTAATTATTCTATAGTTAATAGTGACATTGACAAGAGATACATCTTTCCACCTAATCTTGCTGGACCTGGCAGCATGACACCTCTTCATTTGGCTGCTTGTATGTCAAGTACGGATGACATGATTGATGCTTTGACAAATGACCCGCAGGAGGTAAAAATAACTGTTGGCTTGATTGTCTATAAAATTGTTTGGAGTTTGCACATCGTGCTTGAATCCAACTCATAGATTTTGATTGTGTGCTTTTCTAATGGATGGTATAAAACTTACTGCCAGTCTTACAAATAAGCTGACATAGATTTTGATTTTTCTTTTGATCTTTTGTTCGACTCTTTCCCTTTAGATTGGCCTGAACTGCTGGAACTCCCTTTTGGATGCTAGTGGGCAATCTCCGTATGCTTATGCTTTGATGAGGAATAACTACTCTTACAACAACTTGGTGGCTCGTAAGCTTGCAGACAGAAGAAATAGTCAGGTTACTGTCACAATTGGAAATGAGAGAGATCAACCTCAGATGAGTATGGAGCTGGAGCGTAGGACAAATACGCGATCCAGACAAGGTAGTAGATCATGTACCAAGTGTGCAATTGCGGCAACCAAATACAGTAGGAGAGTTCCCGGTGCACAAGGCTTGCTTCAGCGTCCCTTCATTCATTCTATGCTTGCTATAGCTGCTGTTTGTGTGTGTGTGTGCTTGTTCTTGAGAGGCTCCCCAGACATTGGCTTAGTTGCTCCTTTCAAGTGGGAGAATTTGGAGTTTGGCACAATTTAATCTTTTATAGGATAAGTACTGATTAAGAAAAGAGAAACAAACTTTGGGGTGACGTTGACATTCCAGATTAGCTTTATTGTCATGATGGAAAAGAGAAGTTTTCTGCTTAGCGGCATTCAAGAGGAAGCCCAGGGGTGTGATGGCGGACGTCATGAGCAAGAGAGTTCTGAATCAGGCTCGGGTATTTCCCCAACTAATCTGAGGCATGTGCACAGTCTTGGGTGGTTATGCTCATTTGTGTCCCGAAATAGGTGATTTTTTTTGTCTCTCTCCCCCTTTAAACGTAGAAACTCTTCTGCCCTTGAGACAGAACCTTATATAATGTGCGTGTGTTTTTTTTCTTCTTTTCTTTTTGGCGGGGGAACCTTATATAATGTTGGATAAGATGAAACGTTGGAGACGGGCAGATTGTAAGATCGTAAAAGTATCCATGGAAAGTAGGATGAAGGAAAAATATCGGAAACCCGAATACAAGGAAGAAGTGGTAGATAAAAAATAAGCAGTTATACCAAAATTAGAGGTTAATAATATATGCGGGTCTTCATTTCTAGTAGGGAGATATAAGCCTGCTCTGCCCAAGTTTCTCACTGTAGAGTTGAACGGCGGAGGATCAATCAGGGGAAGGACAATTTCATCGTATTTGATTATAGTTTATTTAAGCGTATTTCTTGCTTTCTAGATTTTTTTTTTTTTTTTTTTTTTTTTTTTTTAATGTTTCTTTCGGGTGTAAATTTCAGAGATTGATATTATTTGACAAACGGGGTAAAGATGTCTATTTCGCCTTCGACCTCGTCTCTTTCGGTCTTGGACCGTTGGAGTGTCACCCGTAGCCTTTGTTTGCTTGATATGTTGTATTTTCGTTATGTTAGCATGATGATAAGGCATCTGAGTGATACCACCAATTCAATCATGTGGATAACCGTAAAAAAATATTTTTTAAAGAATTAAAATCTAAAACGGGAAAATAAAAACAAAGCAAAGGAAGACGACATCGTCTTCATCTGGGTCCATGCGCCCTCCTCTCGTCCAGCCGACGCAACCATCTCCCAAGTAACCTGGATGTCACCGACCCCTTACCCTTTTTAAGTTGCTTTTCCTTATTAATTTCTCTTCACTAATAAAAAATTTAGTTATTTTGAACACCTAAACTATTATCAAATAATAATTTTGTTTTATAAATCTACACGACACATTATTAGATTGGAGGGATCACTCATATGTCACATCATCAAACTAAATAGAAAATGAAAACCTAACCGAATGATAAAAAAGATTTATGATTAACAAACTCGGGACAACTTTTATCGATTTTTATTGTTAGAAACTAAGTTGAGGAGTTATGTCAATATGAGAGATCACGTTGTCATAAAAAGGCTTATTATAAATTATCATGTATTAATCTTGCACTATTTCTATTTGATCGATGGAATATTTCATACTGTATTTTAGACCTGACATTTGTGTCGTGTTTTTTGTGTTTGTGTCGTTTTCGTGTCATACCCGATAGCTAACGGGTCGTGTCGTGTAATACCCGTTAAAGTAAACGGGTAATATGACCCGACCTGAAATCTACCCATTAATATTATCAGGTAATATGACCTAACCCGTTAAGAAAAATATATTTTAAATCAATAAAAATGAAAATGAAAAACATAATTTGACCTAAAAAATGTAAAACATAATACTAAATTAGTATATACATACTAAATTTCGGAGTTGACCCCTTCATGAAAGTTGTAAAGCTTTTCATTATGAATGATTACATTGTTCACACTTCTACAATAATTATTATTAATTTTGCACTCAAATAAAAAAACACTGTTAATGAGATTTGGAGGGTTTTAAAAATCTAAACGACCATGTAACCATCGTCTAAGCGTTGGGGATGCAATTATGAACATTTGTTATGCTTTCACATCTTTCAGACTTATACATTAATGATTATGAATTTTGTTTATTTTGAACTCCCTTAAAAATACTATTCATGAGAGTTTGCATATTTTTTCATATTTTTTGCACATGTAAATTAATTATTATAATTTTTTAATGCGTTTGATATTTTTAAATTACTTGATATTTTTATTTTTAATGTGTTTTATGATTTTTAATCTCAATCTTTGCCTATAATATACTATAAAAATAAATAAATAAATAAAACTTAAATTTTAAAACTTATGTAGAATAATAATTAATAAACAATATATACATATTCATTATATCTAATGTATTTTATAGTAAGTTATTTTTAGTAGTTTAAAAAATTAAAATTATCAAAATAACTTTTTCTTATCGTGTCGAAACAGATTACCAGTGTGTCACTCTCGTGTAAACCCTAAACCCTTCTTATCGTGTCGAAACAGATTACTCGCGTGTCACTCTCGTGTAAACATGTTAAGGACCCATTATTAATGGGTTATTATTGTGTGACCCGATTAGTTATCGTGTTGACCCGAAATCTGTTATTTTCGTATCGTTTACGTGTCGTGTAAGAAATTGCCAGGTCTACTATATTTGTCTAAATTATGAGGAGAAATAAGTCAAACATGGGACGAGAAATAAGTCAAACTTGGGAACAAGGAGTAGAAAATTGCTGGACAAGGATTGTCTGCCCTCCCACTTCCGGTGCCCTTTCGTGCCCTCCTGTTTGTGTGGTCATGGTTAAGCCACGTCAACATTTTATATTAATATTTATTTTTGTCTTATTATCTCTATAAAAAAAAATATAAAATGTTGACGTGGCTTAACCGCGACCACACAAAACAGGAGAGCATGAGAGGGCACGGAAGTGGGACAGCAGACAATCCTTGTCCAAAATTGCTCCAACTTGACTTGGTCTTTTTCTTCCACACCACGTGTCAACCACCCATCATCATAAAAAACCGTTATATTATGTAGCCGAAAAGGATCGGGAAAGACAGGGAAATGAATAGTTCTGTATGGTAAATAATACATGACCGACACCGTACGATGAAAGTGTCATACTATTTGGTAATTCATAAATATACAGTCCAAAGTGAAGAGCTTCATCAATCAATTAGGGGCATTGGGTCTTCCTGATCGGGCAATATTCTGAACGAAAACTTCGGCAACACCTTCCCCAAGCCCCTCAATGAGGCCGCCGATGAATTCAATGACGACTTGAGATGCGAGGCGAGCAGCAGTCCCCAACACACTCGGCTTTTCTCGCCCCTTGAGGCCGTTTTCTTGCAGCCCATTTATCATGTTCTTGGCGCAAACTGCATGAATATGGTAATCACACACCTTGCAGTGGTAAACCCTGCCCGACTTCTTCCTCCTGCACTCCGCACAAACAAAACTGCTACCAGAAGAATCTCCGCCAATGCTACCACTTGCTGCTGCTGGTAAAAGCCTTAGGGTATGTGGGTGAGTCTGCAGGTTTATTTCTGAAGACAACATCGCACAGCAAGGATGCATCTGGAAGCTGCATGCGCTGCATCTGAAAGCATAACCTTTGCTTGGCCTGTGACAAACATCGCACTTGGATTGTGCAATTCCTCCTTTAACTAAATGAAAAAAAAATTCAGCGTGGTATCCCATAAAAGGAAATACATATGTGTATGTATTAGAATGTAAGCATCTAATCAGTAACCAACAGTTTGGTACGAGTAGCCACTAGCTAGCTAGTTTGGAATTGTTTCAAGATAAGTTGTATTCAAATTACTCTACGTACATGAAATAACGACTTAGGCAATTAATTGTGAGAGTGACGTAGGTTATGAATGAATTACCTGCTTTAGAATAGAAAACAAGTTGGTGTTGGAAGTGGAAGGGATGGTTCTTTAGAGCTGGAGGAGCCAAGGCACAAAAATCATGGAGCTGAAAGTCACATTGTTGGCAAATGAACCTCTTGCCAGCGCCGTACTCCTTGCAGCCGGCGCAGGTGAAGAGGTCGGGCAGGATCACTTGGGACAGAGGGTGTTGTGGATGACCGAAATGAAGTATCTCTTCCCCAAATACCAGTTGAGGAGATGTGGGGAATTCGAGCAAAGAAGACTTATTATTTCTAGGGACAATATTATCCAACTTTGTGGGTTGGGATTGGGATTGGGATTGGGGTTGAGATTGGGATTGGGGGGTAGTTGATTCTGACCTCTTTAGGAGAAAAGTTCTTGTCTTCTTCAAGGGTTTATTGCTAATCATGATGGTTGGTTCTGCAGCTCGTCCAGTAATGGATCTCTGGCTAGCTTGCTTGTTATTTGGTGGTGCAAATTGCAAAGCACTGGAGAATATTTATGCTAAAAAAGTTGACACTGTTTGGAGAAAAGTGATCTAAGATCGAGGACCTAAATTGAGGATTAAGGCTACATTGTTTGGGGTTCACCTTTCAACGTGAACTATTGTCCGAAAATGTCCATCCTTTTACCTCTCATTCAAGAATCAAGAATAATTTAAGCATAAAATAAATAAAATCGAAAATTGTTTAATTATTTGATTTTCTCACATTTTTCTAGTGGTTAGTTAGTTAGTTTTATTTATTTTTTTAGAGAAATTGACATTTCATTCGTGAATTAATCAAAGCATGGACATGTGGCAATGAAAATGTTCTCGGATAAAATCTTATCCAAGTAAAATTATATGGGAAACCCTAGAAAAAAAGAAAAGAAAAAAAAAAGAGATCCCCATACTTATAATAAAATATAAGAAAACTATCCTCGGACAAGAAGGCAAAACTTGACATCAAGGCACAACAGCTGCAACAACGATTTCAAAGGCCATGTTGGATGATCTGATCTTGTGAGCCACTCCATTTGCCCTACGTGAAACATGTTGTAAACTTGTACATGAAACTAACGCAACCTTAATCAAATTAAAACTAAAAAATTGTGGAGTTAAAGCTTGCACTAATTAAGTCTCATCTCAAGGTCATGAAGAAAAGAAAAATGAGTAAAGTGATCAAGGGCACAAACACTTTTGCACTTTGCTATCGAAAAAGAATATACCGTCGCACCAAAGTCAAGGCGTTTGTCTTTTAAACACTTTAGTCGTGGGCAATTGCATTGGTCTTCGACTTTCTTGTCCCGACCAACTATAAATATGATCCCATCGACGAAAATCCGATACAAAGAGAAATCAAGGAAAAGTTTGCTTTCTTATCTGCTTTTAATTATGAGTAATGCTAGCGAGACTATTTTCTTGTACTACATTTGTATATCATATGATTTGACAATTGATGTATACAATAAACATTTAATAAGATAAATTGATTAATTGACTTACCACACGTCGTGCGGTACACCAATATAACATAAAATGTGATCTCTCTAATATATATATTTTTTAATTAGCTCCTTATCTTTTGTATTTGGCTTGTTGGTTTGTAGAGCATCTTACGACAAATGTTAAAAAGCATACTTCGTTTTTCAATTTCTTGTTGGAGTGAGTGATTCCCCAATTATTAGTTGTGTGTGTGTGTTTTTTTTTCCTTTCAAGTGATTCTCTTTGATAGTACTCCCTTTCTATCCTTTACACCAAGAAATACACAAACGAAACTACAAATTAAAAAAATAAACACGATATTCCTTGATACGTGTATCTTTACGACTTAAGACATATATCACAACTTTATTAGCACTAGCTAGTAGTGTTTGGACTCAATATTACACCATTGGCATGAGCAATTAATGACGTTGGATGTGTGAGATGTTAAGATAATTTTTTAGTTATTGTTGAGGGATAATATTTAGATTTTTAATCATAATAATTATCTGTTAATAATTTATTAAAAGAAAAACTAATGAAATTGACTTCAAAACTTTAAAATTCAACCAAAGCAATCTAATAACTTTATGGGTAAAGTACAAAAAACTACCTCAACTATTGCCCTCAAGACACTTTCATACCTCATCTTTTAAAATTGACAATGTCATACCTCATCTTTAGAAAAATTTGGTCCAATGTTATACCTTCGTTAGCTTGTTCGTGAATTGGTCAGTTAAATGCTGACATGGCTTGATCCAGGGCCCAGATCCTCACCTAGATGGATTCCACGTGGCACCACACCCAATATTTTCCCGCCAAATGGCATCCACGTCATAAAATATAATTGGGTTTTTTTTTTGGTAATTTGAAATTCAATATTTGAATTTGAATTTTCCCGCCAAAAAAAACCTATGATATACCATTTTAAGCAGAAATTATCATCCTTAAGCACATATTATATCATCCTTGACCTCAAATTTGAAAAATCTCACCCAAAAATATGATATAACCACAACAACAACAAAACAAGTGTATTCAAGCACAAACTACTCATCATTTGCAAGAAAAATATGAAATAGACCAAATTAAGCATAAAACCTGCTTAATTATCCAGAAATTGTTAAACATGTTAAAAAAACTAACAGAATTCATCAAGCATCTCCAACCAACATTACAAAACCTACTGAATTCATAATAACCTGCTACATCATCCATTCAATTCACAAAAGACCTCTTGGATGCATAAAACCTGTTCTAACTTTACAATTCCTTTACAAAAAAAACAACCGTCTGTGCAAAAAAAACGTGGTTGTGGCTGGGTTGGTTGGTATTTCTGTGCTTGGTGCCTTTGGATGATTCAGTTAGTGGATTGCTTGGTCTTTCTCTGCTTGGTGCTTCTAGGTGATTCAGCTACTAATTGTGATGCCTAAATCCAAAGTTCATTTAGAGACCAAGCAAGCTTTTTAACTAAATCCAAATGTTTTACAACTAAGGAAATGGTTAAGTTTTTACCTTTGTTTTCCTTGTCCTCTTTTTAGGTGCAGTTTTTCCTTGAGCAGATGTGGATGCCTACAAAGTAGAAAATGATGTTAAAGGATTAAGAGTGTAATATGATGTTAAAGGATTTAAAAAACCATATAAAGTAGAAAATGTTACCTGTTTGTCCCTTGGAGGAAGATTTCTATGATGGGTTCTTGCATTATGACCTTCCTTTTTGCAGATGGTACATTTAAAAGTGCCTTACCTTTTCCTTCCTAGCTTAAGTGGCTGAGGAGGATCTTGAGGATTATTGGTTGGGTTTGTGGGAGTTTGTTCACCCTCATTGTCCCTCTCAGCAGCTTCCTTGTTTCTCTTCTTCCTCGGCCTTCCAGGTTGCTTTGTATATGTAGGAGGCAATATTGGTGGTTTATCAGTTTCCTCCCACAAAGACATCCCATTCATCGGCATTACTAAATGAGAATACACCTACAAGTACCGCACCTTAGAATAATAAGCATCGACATAGTCCTCCGGTTTTTCTCTCTTGAAATTTATGGTTGATATTGCATGGTTGCATGGGATTCCTGTCAAGGCATACTTTCTGCAAGAACAGGTCTTCTCAACCAAGTCAACCACATATTGCTCCCCCCTCCAGCATCAACTTGAAATTTAGAGCCCCCTGACCATTGTGCAATGCATCTGCCACTTTGAATTTTGGCTTCCTCCAACTTTTTCTTGATTTTAGGACAGAGATCTCCAACTTTGTTCACCATTATATCCCTTCTCATCTGAATTCTCTTCATCAAGAGTGTGTGAATAAGGAGCAACATGGTGACAATAGGTTTTTGTCTAGGTATAAGTATGACAGCATTGAAACTTTCATAGAGATTGTTCAGCACATGTCACACTTGGGATGTGTTTCAAAATGGGACTTGCTCCAATGATGTGTAGGCAACTTCACCAACCAATCGTAGGCCTTTTCATCAAGCTTCTTCATATCCTCCATTGCTTGAAGTAGGGAACTGTTGTTGTTCTAGCTACTGACCATAAAGCATCCTTCAATGTTTTCCCTTTGAACAAATTTCTGAAGTTGGTATACAAATGTCTCATACAAAATCTGTGGTGGGAATTAAGGAGGACTTTTTTAAAAGACGGAATTAACCCCTTTTGCTGATCACTGATAAATGTCCATCCCCCTTGATTGACAATCCCAACATCAATGACCAATAACTCTAGAACCAAATCCAACTGGACTTATTCTCCATTTCTACAACTGCATACGCTATAACCCATGTTTCATCATTTGGGTCAATGCCAACAACACAAAGTAGCTGACCTCCATATACACTCTTTAAATGACACCCATCTAATCCTATCAATGGCCTGCACCCTGATTTAAACTCCTCTTTACAAACCCCCAAGCACACATATATCCTTTGGAACCTCCCCCTATCCAACTTCACCTTCACTGTGCTTCCAGGGTTAGTCTTCTTCACTTCCTCAGCAAAGTCCCACAACTTTGTGTACTGCTCTGCATGTTTTCCTTCAATGATCTTTAAAGCCCTATCTAAAGCCCTGAAAGCCTTCCTTTTTGTACAACCGTGATTCCACTCTGATTCGACAGTTGCCAAAAAGGAATCCACAGGCCATGTGGGATTCAGTTTTATCATGTCCATGTACAAATCAATCAGCAAAGGGGACTTCATGTTCTTGTTTGCCCAAGTTCTCCCACAGGTGTGTTCATCAAGTATGGTCTTGATCTGTATGTTGTTCGAACCATACATTTTTCTAGCACAACACTTCCAAGGGCACCCTTTTGAACACTTTGCTATGACTTTCAATTTCTCATTCCTAGGAAAATGGATTTCTCCATATCCATTCACTAGGGAGTACATGATGACAGCTTGCTTGAATTGGACATGATCCCTGAAAACTAGCTCGAGTGTAAGTGGAATTCTTCATGTTTGTTTTCTCATTGACCTTTGCAAATCGCTCATGTTTTTTGCCTCCTTCATTATCCGAAGAGTGTACACTCTCAAGAGCATCAGAGTTATAGTCTGGATCATCAACCACATTTTGTTCCACATTTGCAATATCAAATTCTTCTTCCCTTTGCTCTTCTTCTCTTTCCGGGCTTTGCTCAGATTGCCTTGCACTTCTTTGCTCATAATGCCTTGGACTTGCACTTCTTTGCTCAGATTGCCTTGCACTTCTTTGATCAGAATCCCTTTCATCAAACTTGGAAAACACTGGGTTATCGGCATCACTCCCATATTGACTCCCTTCAAAGTCACTATCATCTTCTTCAGTAGTTTCTTCATTCTCTTCTTCAACATTCCCATCTCCTACATCCCCCTCGCCTACATTCCCCTCCAAACTAATAGGTACATCAAAGAATACTTTAGTATCCCCCTCTCCTACATCCCCCTTTCCTACATCCCCTTCGCCTACATCCCCCTCTCCTACATCCCCCTCAGTATCCTCTTCTCCTACCTCAGCCACAGATTTCCCCTTACTCTTATCTGGCCCTTCACAATTTTTCTCTTTCTGACCATTCCCTTCTTCAACATTTATCTCTCCTACCTCAATCATACATGTTTGCACTACTTGAGATGTGCAACGATCATCCACTTTTGGCCCTTCAATAGCTAACA